AAGGAACCGCCGGCAGGCAGAGAACAGAGGTGGGCCTAGCGGCTACCCGCTGGCTGGATTGGTGCGCTTGCTAAAAATTTGTAACCTAGACGGGCATAGGTCGCGCCGATGCCTGATTTCGTATCTCCTTATCTTGGTTTTGTCCACAAGGATTTGTCCTTTCACATGGCAAACGGGGGTTTACGTAGTTGACCCTTGTGATTTCATACTACAAACGCTGGTTTAAATTGCAGATACTTGTGATTTCGTACAACAGATTCAGTAGCAGAGGTTTGTGATTTCGTATCACAAACGATGGCGTAGTTCTCTGAGAGTAAGGATTTCATCGTGATTTAAGAATTTAATTTCATACCACAAATAATTTATCTGGCAGGGACTTCAGGCTTCATATTACAAACACTGCTTTAGCTGTCATGACTTTATGCTGCAAGCAATGGCTGAACTGTAGAGCTTTAGAATTTCATTCCAATCACCAAGTGGTATCTGTCCCTGTGACTGCTGCCTTGGAAACGTTAACACGTTTTCCTATATTGGAGACCATCTCGCATATTCTCCTGTCCTCTACTGGAATATAAGGAAGGCACATATAAAACTACTACTTTTGAGGTTCTCAAGAACAAATGATTTATTTTATGTAACTTACTGTCTCGCAGATGTAAGCTCAAATATAACTGCAATAAAACAGTTGCAAAGTTCTTTTATATTCAACTAAAACAGAAACGAAGTTATTGTTGATGCAACTGCACCAAGTATATTAATTTTATTTATTCTAAGTATTATTTTATTCTGTTGATTGGCTAAAGGCTGTAATAAAATTAATTTGTTCACTACTTTAGGAGTGGATGTTTGTGGTGTCATATCAGAAGCCCTGATTTAGCTGGTAGCAATTTTATACTGCAAATACTGTACTAGTTTTCAGTTAAAAAAACTTGTGATTTCATGCTAGAGGTTTAGCTCATACAAACTCCTGATTTAATTACCACAAACACTGGTTTTATGGTAGAAACCTGAGATTTCATACTGCAATAGTAGTTTAATGTATCTACATTTTAAAAAATAAATCAAATTTATAGGCTGCCCAACTGCCCAGACTCTGGGCAGTGTACAAGATAACAATCCAATTCAACACAAACAAAATAAGGTGATAACCCAGAGACTTGTCATTTCATACTCATGAATGCTTTATCATGAAGGCAAGATTTATCATGTAAGAAAAAGTGGTGGAAGTAGCAGAGACTTGTGATCTCATATCATAAATACCACTTTAACTTGCAGACTTTGATTTCATGCTACCAATAATGGTTTAGCTGTCAGAGACCTGCAATTCCATAATGGCTTTTAAGTAGCATATATTTTAAACTTTGAAACAATGCTTTAGGCCTGGTTAACTCTAGAGAGATCAATCAAAGGAACTACCATTGATTTAATTACAATGATGGAGCATAAATACTTTTATTCTGTGCTGCTTTTGGAACATTACAAAAACAACTTCCTCAGAATGTCATCTTTTTTGAAAGCTAAAATATGGTAACCCCAGAATTGTAGAGCTATGATTTTATGATGTTTTGTTCCATACTTAGAACAAAATGCGACTGTTTCACATTTTGAGGGATCCAATGCAGTTAAGTATTGTTCTGCATCTTACCACATGGGTTTAAAAACATGCATCTTGTCTTGTATAGCAGCTGCAAATGGCTGGGCTGGGTGATTTGGGGGGATGTGGACAGAATGCTGTGAAAAAAGAGACTTCCAAAAGTGCTATCAGGGAACTTGACTGGATTGTTCTTGTTTCTGGAGCTGGCGAGTATGCTGATGTTTGGAGGTAAAAGTATGGGGTTGTTAATATGAACTTTTCAGAAAAGGGCAAAACAAAACAAACCCAACCCAACATTGCTATCCCATCAAGAGCAATCAGAGTACTTTGATAAGTTGTTTCATCCCATCCAGATCCTGACAGCCTACCAACACCTGGACTAGACATTGATAGCATCTTCTCTCTAACTTGGGGCAATGTACAAGTGCATATCATTGGCATAATGCACCCCAAACTGATCATCTTTCCCTATGACTTCATGTATGTGTTAAAAAGCAGGAGGTAGAATGCCAAGCCCTATGATGGCATCCCACAAGAAGCAACTACCTAGCTGGTCTTTCCACCCTCACCCCCACCAACTGGAACTGACCATTAAGGAAGGAGCAGAAGCAGTGCCCTCAATTCCATCCCTCCCAGGAAGTACAGAAGGATACCATGGTCAATGATATCAAAGGCCACTGAGAGGTCCAAAAGGAAGAGGGGTGCACTACCTCCATCTACCCTCTGATAAAGCAAGAGCAACACACAGAGCAATTATGGTATTTCTCTTATCATCACAATGTAGGCTCAAACTTGCATGGTCAGGTTTGCTTGTCAGTCTCCACAATCACTTTTGTTGATTAATCTCTTGGAGCTCCTCAGTAAATCAAGTAATCATCTGGGACTGATGCATATAGTTCCACTAAGGAACAATGTTGTCAAGAGCCAAGGTTGTTTCCTGATGTCAGCAGGCAATCAGGCACTCAATAGGACCACTTATAAGATTGCTGGGAATTTTGCAAAGTGCTTGCCAGAATCCATCTGAATCTATAAGGTGCTTGGGGCAGACCATCCTGATTTGCCCCATGGAGGTTACAGGTCACAGTCAATCTCATCTGGGGCAGGAAATGATTTGACCATGACAATGAATATGCCCTCCATATCCACATCACAGGACAATTGCTCTGAGACAAAGGCAAGGTCCAGAGTATGTCCACCCACCAAGGTGCATCAGGCTCGAGATTACCTGGGAAAAGCCTATGGTTACCAGGGAAGCCAGGCAATCTCAAGCCTTCCCAAAAAAAGGTTGAAGTCATCCAACGTCAGATATGGTAACAGTCTTCAAATACTTGAAATAGGTAGAATTAGTCCCTAATTAAGAGAGGGGAGGATCAAAATCAGTGGGTTAAAAGCAGAAGAAAGAAGATTCAGGCTAGACATTACAAGGAACTTTCTGACTATATGAGCTGTCAGCCAGCAGAATAGACTAACACATGATGTGGCAAGATTAGGAGAACTTAGTTGAAGATTTCCTGATCTTCAAACAGCCTGGATGGTTTTCTGTCAGAGTTACTGTAATAGACCCTGCATTGAGCAGGGGATTGAATTAAATTACCTTTAGGGTATGAACCCTATGATTCTATGATACTATAACCTGTCATAGGTAAAGAAGTTGAAGTTAAGCCAAGATTGACCTCTCAGGATGGAAATTTGTTTGCACCTTACCATTTACAGAAGTGAGATCTAATCTGTCCCTGTCAGCAATCTATCTCCAGTGACCAAAAACAAACAAACAAACAAACAGTGAAATAAATCTGAGTTTCTCTGGCTCAACAAATCCTAACAGAAGGATAAGAAACAAACAGAACTGCACTTTTACAGATGCTTGGAATGGCAGAGTTTATGGAGGTCATAATCCTCACTGGCCAGCCATACTGCTCAGTGCTCCACTCAACCAACTCCCAGTACCTATGTAAGAGAAAAACTAAAACATTTAAGTCCATAAATTTCCAAATATCCTTCTAAAGCAGTTCAAAGACACCCGATTCAATTTGGTACTTCAAATTGATGAAAGGGTGATTTGATTGAACCTGTTTGACTCAAATCACCCATTCAAACCACATAGAGCCCTTCTATTTTCCTTCAGTGCCCCTATCTTGCTAGTGCAAGAAATTAGCCAATGTCCCTATTTTCATGCTGGAATGTAATGAAGCTGTTGCCTCTTTCAGCCTCAAGTGATCATATATCTAGAAGGGCAGAATGTTCCCAAAGGCCTTGTTGACAGATTCTGGCAAATGAAGGTTGGTTTGGGCAGAATGTCAAACAACATACCTTAGAATTAGTGAGACATATTAATCTGGTGAACAAAAAATAATATACTAATCTGGTAAATAAAAATACTGGTCTGTTAAAAGAAATTTTAAAAATCCAATGTTGGGCAATTTCAATAGTTAAGTCAAGATGTAACCAAAATGCTGAGCATAATGTTGAGTTATCTGGAATGCTTCATCAGGCTGGTTATTTAGTAAAATGAGGAGAGGGAGACTGGCTTGATTTTAAAGCCATAATAAATACAGTGGTACCTCTAGTTACGAACTTAATCCATTCCGTGACTCTGATTGCAACTCGAATTGGTCTCAAGTCGAGGTAAAGTTTCCCATAAGGTTCAATGTAAATATGGCTAAACAGTTTTGAAACTTATGCATTTTATTTTTAATCCTCAAAAACCTCCCAAACGCCACAAAAGCCGCCCAAACACCCCAAAACACACAAGCCTCACCGAACGTCATAAGGTTCAATGTAAATATGGCTAAACAGTTTTGAAACTTATGCATTTTATTTTTAATCCTCAAAAACCTCCCAAACGCCACAAAAGCCGCCCAAACACCCCAAAACACACAAGCCTCACCGAACGTCATAAGGTTCAATGTAAATATGGCTAAACAGTTTTGAAACTTATGCATTTTATTTTTAATCCTCAAAAACCTCCCAAACGCCACAAAAGCCGCCCAAACACCCCAAAACACACAAGCCTCACCGAACGTCTCCTTGCTACCGCGATCTCGCCCACAGGAAGCCGCGACCGCGTGGCA